AATTAAGCCATGATTCCGATATCGTTAAAATGTCGTACTGATGCGTCAAAATCTACAAAACTACTCTCTAAAAGTGACTGGAAATGCCATTTCGGATGATCTAAATTTCACAAAGTTTATAGACTTGCCACAAGTCGACCATGGGGGAGGGAGGGCGCGGAGGAGGGAGCGCGCGACCCGAGCGACGAAGTCGCGAGTGGTCGACTTGTGTCGCTTGCAGGAATTTAAATCGCATTAAAAATTTTGGCGCGAATAATTTTGACATAAAAGGGTGTGTACATACAATTACAGAATTACTTCACCGTGCCGACAATGGGTCTACAAAAACAGAAAAACTTCTCAAGAATTGATATTTCTTTGTCGTCGAATGAAACCGTTTGCACCAAGTATGGAAACGAAATAACTGACCCAATTAAGCACCGAAAGCTGTTCAATGTATCAACAAAAACAAGTGCATGTAAAAACGTATTGAATCTGGACAGTTGTTTGTCTAACAATGTGTGCCGTAATTGTGTCGACAAGAATAGTAATTTATTTGACTTATTAGGGAGCGGTCATAAAGTAAGTGCTACCCCGGGGCGGAGGATATTTTTAATTTTGTGAAAAAAATTTCACACACCCACAAACTTGTCGGATAATATTTGGTACCCCATCAAGATAACGGTCTCAATGTTTCATATCCCATCATAAAACGATAAGCTTACCGGGGTTTATTCATGTTGATATGACCTGGGGTGTGCTGATTGGGCTAAAGAATTCTGTTGAGTAATTGCCATTACCCTATAAGTTTATTTTAGTAAGTTTTATCTTTCTTCAACTTAAAAATAACAAAAAAGTAAAATTCAAATCCAAAATGCTGTTTTTTGGCCCCATTCATTGAATACGGCCGTCTGTCAAAAATGGCGAATATTGCTAATATTTTACCCATTTTGGTTATTTTATGTAAAGAGATAAAAAAACATTTTGGATGTGATATTTTTAGTTCTTTTACATTCAAAAAACATACTTTTATGTTATGGCATATATCAGATGTCGATAAACACCACCATTTTTCTTTACAAGCTGGCATTTCTGTACCATTTGAAAAGACATACAACTGAAACTGACCTGTCTCCCCATATAAACAATCCAAATCATTTTCAACATCACTGATTGAGTGATTTCACCATCATCACTGTGACACTGTCATTGTTGTCATATTTATATTCCATAAATCGCATAATATTTGCAATTGCGCATTCTGCTGAAACTCTAGCTGTTTTTGGTGCCATAACTTCTTCAGTATAAACCGAAGAAACAATGAACTAAATGAAGTCGATCAAGAAAAGTTTGTCGAAAAATATGAAATGGCGACCATGTTTATAACCAGGCCAATATTGGCAATATACTATGTGTTAGATGAAGTGTAACACAGGTGGGCTACGAGCCTGCAGTATAGTTTTGAAAACACAATATTTATAAATATTTATACTAAATTGATTTCATATTCTGCAATATATTATGGTTCCTAAATCTTTGGTGTTTGCTCAACCGTGAAGGTACAAAGAAATATGTGTATTTGTATATATAAAAATATTATAAATAAGTATTTTATATTTTATAGGAACTTATTGCCACAGCGATAAGAGTTTTTATTGCTTCCCGGAATAATTTATGGTTGAAATTAATTATGCGAAATAAGTAATTTGCGCCCGCAAGTTAATTTAGGTATAGTCACGTGACTGGAAATTTCGGTATTTATCAGTGGTGAAGCGGGCTATCTGTCCTTTCCTATTCCACGAGGGCTGCAGTTCACATCAAGAAATTGGATAGAAGAGAATTATCTTCTGTATCTGGTAAATATCTTTTACTTATGCATAATAATTAATAATATATTGGATACCAAGGACATTTCCATTTTGCTTGCGACATATGGATATGTATGGGACTTTACTTACAAACCAGACTGCGGTGTTGGCCATTTCGGGTTCGCAAAAGTTAGAAACTCGAAGTGCGTGTGCGCAAAACAGTTCCCAAGTGTGCATCAAGATGCAGTCAAGGGCGCAAATGTAGCAAGATACATGTTAAAAACAACGAAAATTAGAGATTACAGGGCAGATTAAATGGCGAAAATTGTTATAAAGTGCTAAATTTCTGCTTAAAAAATATCGAGTGCGACGTTGACTAACTCTGCAGTCTGGTTTACAATGACTCACATATTCATGACTTTTAGTCGCAGTCTACAGGGGTAACTACAGTACACTCTAAATTGAATAAATGTGAACTTTATGAATTTATTAGCCAGCCCCTAGTCTTCCGATTTATAAAATGGGAGCTAAATTTTTGGGAGATATCTACCCTCAGTGTGTAATAGATAGTTTTGCTCACACAGCTACTCGTGGTCGTGATTCTACAAGCGTAGAAGATCAATACTGGGCTCCTTAACATGGGTTTTATGACTGGGTAGAGTTCGGCTGAACCTGGTTTGAAATTGCACTTGTTGCGGCTTGAAATGCAGCCGTTGCATCAAGACGTAAAATCTCTGATTTGGCTTAGTAATTACAGAGCGAAGACAATGTCTAAATTATTCATATATTGTGATTATTCCATTCTCTCAATGATTTATTGTATTGGAGGCTGTTGCTGTCGCGTTGCCGTCCTGGGTCGTAGGGTCTCTAATGCGAAAGCTCAGCGTCTTTGACTTGTGCAAGCTCTGCGTTTAGTATAAACGTACTATTATGTAGCATATACCTTGCGCTGTTGCGTGACTAAAATTTTCCGTGGCTTTTCAAAGCGAAATAATCCCACTTGATAATGACATTAACAGGATATTAAATCCCTACAGCGTCAATTATCGATTAATTATAGCCTACTGCTGACACATTATGTCCAGTCCTCGCGATTGCATATATTTTGCAGATGTTAATTACACTGGCCTGTAGGCCAAGTGTCTTAAATCCCTCTTTTTCTGTCTTTTCCTGTGTTTTCCTGTTTTTTTCGTAGTCGAGAAATCGAGTTTGCGTTAGCTCATCGCAGGCTCAGGGTGCAACGACTAAGCCAAAATGCCATCGATCCCCTCTGTTCCATGATTTACATAGTATAGTAATAAGTCCGTATTTATGTACGTAATAGCCGACTCATGCCATGCTTGTGGTGCATTTTTCGTTTATTAGCCCATACACTTGTACGCACGCGCACAATTCCGAACTCCAATGGCGGCTTTTCGCAGAGTGATCAAACTATATTTTACACAGTTTCGTTGAATTTTCAAAGAATTGTGCCGGTTTCCTATGGATTTTACGTTGTGTCGTACTCTGGACTTTCTTGCGTGTTGAATTAAATGTGTTTTTCTTTGTGTAACGATTCGAAAATTTAGACCCAGCGAATTTATACAATATATAGAAGGATATTTAAACAAGGACAAGTTAAAGGTTTGACAGTTTGAGTTTTTAATAAACAACTATAAATATACGTCGTGGACTCATAACATCCGTTGTGTACTTGTGTTAATTTTTGCATCGCACTCTGGACTTTCTTGCCTGTTGAATTAATGTTTTTCTTTTTGTATTAAATTAAACGACTCGAAAACCTCAAAATTTCATAAATTTGTACCCAGCGAATTTATACAATATATTGGAATATAAACAAGGACAAACTCTCCGAATTCCTTACGATAGTTTTAGTCAAATGTCGACAATATACCTTTAAATACATGTATTAAAATCCGCGCAGTACTAGAATTAAGAGAATTAGCGTAGCGCTGGCCGCTTAGCCTGTGTACAGCCGTAAATTCTCACAGGCTATGGCCGCTGGGTGCGGAAATTTTAGTACTGCGCGAAATATAATCCGCGCGAAAAGCTTTGTGGTAGCTATACTAAGATAAAGCGTGCGTTCAAAATACCAACAAGAACTAGAACCATTATTGTATGGTTCTCATTTGCTAGACTTGCCACAAGTCGACCTCGAAGAAACGCATTTCGTTCGAGGTCGACTTGTGGCAAGTCTACTCATTTGCCTAATACAATAACAATAGTTCGACGCGAATTTTAATACAAGTATGGTATCATATTTCATAATATAACAAACAATGTAAACGTACTAGCCATACATTTTGCCGAACATAACTTCGGCCCCTTTGGACATATCTTTTTCGTAATGATATTATTGGAACCAGAATCGAAAACACTATTTATAGTGTTATTTTCAAGCTTGTGTCTTGAGATTGTCATCTTTTATTTCGGTATTTACAGAATATTTATATATTTAGCGCGGCCCAGGAAAAACCGGAAATCGATTCTGTAGGTCGGCATGATTTGCACGTGCATTGATCGAGCTATAAACGTGCGTGCGAGTAAAAACCCGATATTCTGAAAAATTCTAAATAAATATTCCTACTCTGTGCCGTATTCAAACGAAACTTTGTATATGAAAGCGCTTGAATACAAGATGTATTTTACTCACATTGACTCTGAGCAAATTCTGAAGAGTCACTAAAGAATACTAAAGCAGGGTGCATTGCCTGTTAATGGGTTAATAAGAGACATTGGCAGATGTGTTTGTTAACCCATTTACTGACAGTACTCTGCCACTAACAAGTAAAATCGTCTGGCGTTACAGTGTAAATTGGTCTGGCGTTAGCCAGAGTTAATACTAAAGTAGTGTGCATTGGCAGCTAATAGGTAATAGACCTTAATATCCACTTTTGACCCAATGGCTTCATTTTCATGTTGGCTATTTACTCGTATTCCGTGCACACAATTTAAGAATGAGTTTGTGAACGGGCTTAAATGATGAACGAGAAGGAAACATTGGGGATATAACCAAGAATTGTGTAGAAGTATAAATTTTTGCATAATTGCATTATATATTCAGTTCATACGCCAAAAAGGCAGCACTTTCCTTGCGATAGTAACTCCTAGTTATTGACTTGCACCATTAACGTCTCCCGAAAAGGTCTTTTATTTTTTAAAAAAAAGTCCATAAAATTTGCTTGCGGTTTAAGATTTGTATTCCTGCCTTTTGCACCATAGCACGTATCTCGTTATTTTCAGGCCAGTGTGAACGCCTGCGCAGGCGTCTTGTTTTTATACTATACCTTATGAGGCAGATTATAATCTGGGGCCATTCATGTCTGTGCTCTTCACTATATTTGTATGATATAGTGGGTATTTGTGCTAATTTTATGTTAGGGGTCAGAATTGTATACGTATATGTTACCATCATTATGTTTGTACATATGTTATCATGAATATGCTAACAATAGCATTTGCGGTGTTGTTGCTGCTAACTATAGCATATTGTGCTATTGCTATTCGGGTTTATTAGCTTATTAGCAATATTCCCGTTGTTACCGTTTCATGTTATTGAAGTCATTTCATGTTTTATGGGCTATAGAGCAACTTGGCTGTTTTCAGATGCCCACGTTGAGATTTCAACTTTGCCCTTGGGTTTTTTGCTACACAGAACTTTTTCATGAATTTGTGGCATTTATATATACGATTGTTATAACTTTGTATTGTTTTGTGTATATACGTGTCAAAGTTGTGTTTTAAACATGTGTACGTGTGCGTATATATATTCTGCCCTTGTTCTTGTGTCAAATACCCACAGTTGAAATCAATATATTATGGGATGGTGCAGCTGCATGGTTGTTTTCAGATTGCCCGAATATTTATAATTTGCAGCATTGTATAGATGGAATATTCAATTTGCGGCTACCTCCGATGTATGCCATTGTGATTATTCCCCGCTGCTTCGTGTTTTGTATGTTTCTCTGTAAATTTCATGTGTTATGGGCTAGAGCACTAGCTGTTTTCAGATGCCCACGTTGAGATTTCAACATTGGGTTTTTTCTTCACAGGACGTTTTCATGAATTTCTGGCATTTATATACATATATATGTTCATGTTCTCATTCAGTCTGTTCTGTATACGTGGCTGTTACGGCTGTTCTCGTCTAAACTTATGTTGTGTCACTGTGACCGTATATAATTTGCTACTGTTCCTGTGTTAGGAAAAATGCATGTCTACGTGGGATAGAGCGATTATCATTTTCAGATGCCCACAGTTGAAATCAATATATTGTGGGACGGTGCAGCTAGTTGTTTTCAGATTGCCCGAATATTTATATATTTTGCAGCATTGTATAAATGGAATACTCAATGTGCGGCTACCTCCGATGTATGCCATGATTATTCCGCTGCGTTGTGTGATGTATGCGAACTTCATTTCGTTGTGACGTTTACATATATGTCAATACTTCTAACGTTTTGCAGTATTGTTATAGAATATCAATTAGATTATTCCACTGCTTTTTGTCTTACATGTTATTTTATTATTGTACAGTATGTTTTTGTTAGGTTTATAGCCCGTTTAGCTGGTATGTCGATATCAATCGGTCAAGCATAGCTAATGTACATGGTGCAACTCAAATTTTGCTTGTCTGCGTTCTTTAGTCTTTCCTTTCAGCACATCCATGCTACTAGCCCAAGCATCTCAAGTACAAATGACCGCTGAAGAAAACGTCAATCATCCACACTTCATGGTTGCCAGTACACTGACAGTGAAATGTTATGGCCAACTTGGTACTTCCTATCCTTCAACTATTTTCGTCCGCACCACCCGCTCCAATATAGATTTGTGGTTTGTGACTTGGCAGTACGCGGTGGCGCCAAATTAAAAATTTTATACACAATTGCGCTCTTTGCGGCCAAACCACATACTGCGATGCCAGGGGGGTTAAAAGTCATTAGGAAGCTTGAATACGCGACCAAGATGCCTAATTCTGGTTATTTTATGACAATGGGCTTCCAATCTCTTGGCAACCTAGACATTCTCCATGTAAGGCAATATATCCGATTGCAAAATTTTAATTTTCATCCCCTCGATTCTCCAGTAATGGTGCCCCAACCGCTGTCAAGTCTCGACCTACCAACACCAGTCAAAATAAATAAATTAATTTATTAATGCATTTACTGGGTGGACATGATGCGAAATTGACTGTTTATTCATATGCAGGTTTTACATTTGCGAATATCGTTTCATGCAAATTATAATAATCTTATCTGCTGAACAAAACCATGAAATTGTGAGCACTATATTAAATGTCTAGAGGAATAGTTGCGTGTTCGCCTTTGGGTATTGTTTATACTAAACAAGCGCCGGAATACATTATTTATTTTCTCTAAATTATATTGTTAATTTTGGTAGTCATTGCGATAAACTACGCTCGTGCTGATGTCGTACATGCGACATGTTTAATTACTTTAATATACGGCTTCAGAAACCGTTGCTAAAACACAGCTAAATATTTCGCATCATAACTTCCCGACTTGGCAGCTTCGGAATTATCACCAATGCCGCATTCATCGCTGATTTCTTATCTCTTTGCCAATATTTGGGAGTGCCAATCCGTGAGCTCTCATTCGCAAGAATTGAATTAGACGCTTTACGCATGACAGCGCTATTTATTACTGCGGAATTTAAATTAAGTCACTTGCGTAAAAAGGTAATCCAATCCTCGATTGCCTTGCTTAATTAATTTAGTTTTGCATGTGGTCGTGCCACGTCGTGCCTTGTTACGACGGCTTGTTACACTGACCTGAAAGGTCAAGTGTCTTAAATCCCTAATTTTCTGTTTTCTGTTTTCGTCGAGAAATGGAGTTTGCGTCAGCGCATCGCAGGCTCAGGGTGCAACGATTAATCCAAAATGCCATCGATTCAAATGCCATTCGATTCCTCGACTGCTTGATTTAGTTTTCATAGTAACAACACAGCAAAAAATCATTTTCTTATTAAGAAAAAAATTTCTTAATTTAAGAAAAAAATCTTAAAATAAGAAAATAAATTTCTTAATAAGAAAAAATTTTCTTGAAATAAGAAATTTTTGAATCCCAAGGTATCTTTTTCTTAATAAGAAAACATTTTCTTAAAATAAGAAAATTTTTCTTATAATTTCTTATAGTTAACGCGAAAGCATTTTCTTAAGAAAATACGATTTTCTTACTTTAAGAATATGTTTGTAAGAATATGTTTGTAATAAGACAAGAAATGAAATTCTTAAAATACAAAAATATAAAATAGTAAGACATTATTACTTAAAATTTTCGCAGCAAGAAAATGTAAAATGCTCAGTAGTGTTTATATAAGGACAACTTATATATATCTTAACAAAACTTAGAACAACGTATATCATATTGCGTCAGGTAAATTTGTAGTTTCGAATTGAAGAAACTATATGACCGGCAGCTCACGGTTGATCAAACACTAAATGGCCGGCAGTACATTGACTATATAGTTAAAGTTGAATCTTCAGTATAAGATAGATAAACCGATCCCCAATCCCAAACCCTTCTCTAACCCTAACCCCTAACCCTAACCCTAACCTTTTGAGAGTTAGACCGGCTGCCGGTAATATAGTCACTTTGTTTTTATTTCCTTTCCAAAATTTGAGCTCGTTTCAGTTTTATTGGTCGTTGAAGAGAATTTTTGCCCTCCGGAACTTTTATCCAAGCAGGAATAGTTCGCCATAGTTCGCGTATTTACTAAATGCCTGGTACCTAGTTTACCTTTTAGAACGCGGAGCATCGCGGGATAGCGTCGTTTTACATTTTTGTGAAAAATTTTATAATATATCATAATGGAATTAAAGGCAATTTAAATGGCAAATATCGATGGGAAAAGCATCAGAAAGTCCTTAAAATGTTGTTCAGATACCACAGGTAAGAATAATTGTATATTTGACTTGTTATTTAAACATATTCATTGCGAAATAATGTAGTGATTATGACTGTTTACTTGAGCGAAGTGTGGAAATATTCCATTGAATGTTTGAATTTGCCGCGTTCGTTTTGCATATAAAACATGCAAATGTTGCTTTCAGGCAAGGGACGAAAGATTAAAATATAAATTCAAATCTATTGTTGTGAATTCCGTACTAATTTACGCACTAATATTAAAAATTTGACAATATTAAATTGCCTTTGACATTGACACTTTGCTAGACCTTTGTCAAGACTCAAGGCTATATAGTGATATGAAATAAGATATTATACATACGGATGTTTTTGAAGATCTGTTAGCATTTTAATACAGGTACTTGAATAAGGATTG